CCATGCCGCAATCCCTTCTCCTCCATTCTCCTCTTGGGATCTTGGGCACGCATGCACACTCGCCCGGCATGTTTTAAGCCACAGGGTCCGGGACGCGAACCGCAGTATACTACATGGGAGTCCAGCGACATAGCCATTACGTCATCTGCTGGTCCCAATATGGTTAGCTTTGATATGCATGTCTGTGAAACCATCATGACAATTAAAATAATGGTAATCCAACCACCCCATTTCCACGCAATCTTTGATCTGCTTTCTATCACTATAGTTTTTTATTTCCAAGTACTATACACCACTGTATGTATATACCACAGTTTAATACTTTTACCTGATGATGGACATTTGAGTTGTTGACAATTTTTAGTTATTACAAACACAGCAACCGTGAACATTCAGATAAAAGCCTTTATAGGAACATAAACTTTCATTTCTCTTGGGTAACTACCTAGGAAATGGCACATGATACATATATATATATAACATTTTTTTTTGAGAGGTTTTTGCTATAGGACCCGTGCGCTCGCCAGACAGAGAAACAGACAGACAGAAAGCGTGAAATCACCCCCCAGGGGTGATGGCCACACCACAATCCCTTCTCTTCCATTCTCCTCTTGGGATCTCGGGCACACACACACACGCGAGTTTTAAGCCACCGGGTCGAGGATGTGAACCGCGGTCGACTGTGGGAGTCCAGTGACATAGCCATTATGCTAACTGCTGGTCCCTATATAACATTTTTTAAAATAATTATTTTATTTATTCATTCATTCATTTTAATTTGACCAGACACACACACACACACACACACACACACACACACAGAGGAGAGAGAGAGGGAAAATGAGAAAGCAAGCCACCAGGTCTAGGACTGGAATCATGGTTGGCCATGTGGGAGTGTCTGGAGCCTTAGTCACCACGCCAGCTGCTGGTCCCTACATATGTTTTAAAGAAACTAACAAACTGTTTTCCAAAGTAGTTGTATGATTTAATATTCCCAGGAGAAGGGCATGTGATTCAGAGCTTTGTTTATTTTTAATTGCTAGAGGGTATGTGTCCTTTCCAGAAAGAGTCAGCGAGTACCCCCTAAATGGGGTGTGGTCACACTGCAGTTCCTTCTCCTCCATTCCTCTGTCCTGTTGGGATGAGGGCATGGGCATGTGCCTGGCTCATTCAAGCTGCCAGGGCCAGATTTGTAACTGTGGTCAGTCACATGGGATTGGGCTCCCTTAGCCAACAGGCCATAGGCCCGGCCCAGTGACAGAGGTTTTTTGTTTGTTTCGTTTGTTTTAAATTATTTTATTTTTATTTATACATTTATTTATTTATTTTTATTTGACCATAGAGGGATAGAGTGAGAGAGAGAGAGAGAAAGTGAGAAAGCAAGCTGCCAGGTCTGGGACTCGAACCAAGGTCAGCCATGTGGGAGTCCAGTGCCTTTAACCACCACGCCACCTGCCAGCCCCCACAGAGGTCTTTTGATTCATCTGGATAGGAAATGCTAGGCATGTGTGTGTGTGTGCCCAAGATCCCAAGAGGGAACGGAGGAGAAGTGAATATGGTGTGGCCACCCCCTTGAGGGGTGATTTCTCACTCTCACTCCTCTGTCTCTCTCCAACAAGCACACATACCCTATGACAAAAATCTAAAAAGAAGAAAAGCAAACCTGAGGGGTGCAATAGAAACACAAAGAAGGTAATTTCTTTTTTTTTGGAGGTTTTTGCTATAGGGCACGTGTGCTCGCCAGACAGAGACAGAGACAGAGACAGAAAGCGAGAAATCACCCCCCAGGGGGGATGGCCACGCCACAATCCCTTCTCCTCCATTCTCCTCTCGGGATCTTGGGCATGCACGCACACGCGCCCGGCGTGAGTTTTAAGCCACCGGGTCCGGGACACGAACCACGGTCGACTACGTGGGAGTCCAGTGACATAGTCATTATGCTAACTGCTGGTCTCTAAAGAAGGTAATTTCTTCTTAAGGTGTACAAAGATACCTATAAATTCTTTTCTTTTTAAAATAATTATTTAACTTATTTATTTATTCATTCTATTTGGCCAGAGAGGGGCAAAGTGAGAGAGAGGGAAAGTGACAAAGCAAGCAACCAGGTCTGGGCCTCAAACTGAGTTGGCCACGTGGGATCCAGCACCCCTAACCACCACACCACCTGCCAGCACCCCAAATTCTTTTTTTGCCTTTTTAAAGAGAGTTTTTTTTTTTTTTTTGCTGTACGTTGCCTGCATTCACTGGAGAGACAGAGACACACAGAAAGAGAGAAATGACCCCTCAAGGAGGATGGCCATGCCGCAGTCTCTTCTCCTCCATTCTCCTCAGGAGTTTGGAAACACACCCACACGCGCTGGCATGAGTTTCAAGCCTCTGGGGCTGGGACTCAAACTGCGGTCGGCTGTGTGGGAGGCCAGCCATGTAACCACAATGCCATCTGCTGGTCCCAACTTCTTATTCATCTTAGCTGCTCAGCTAAATCTTGGTAGGCTGTCATGTTTACAAAGAATGAATTTACTACAGTAAGACAAAATTTTATTTATGAAACTCTTTAACAGTACATAGCTCAGAAGTTCTACTTAGGTACAACAGACTTACATACGATGCTAAGCAACTCCAGTTTTTAAAATAAATGAGTAAGATCTAAGTTTGACAGAACTTAGTAACCTTAAATCGGTAATCTTCAAATTTCAATAGGGCCTGTCGCTTTTAAATAAACAAGATTAGAATGAGCTATAGTTTTATTCCTAAGTATATGATGGCGATTATAGGAAGTGATCTGAACAAAGGTGCATCTACACTTTCAACAAAACAAAGCTTCTTCACAGCGGTAAAATACTGATGCCATAACCAAACCGTATGACCCAGCTGCATAAAGGTGACTAGGTTCTCTACAGAAGAGGGTGCAGGGGCCTTTCTATCCTGGCTCTCCCTATTCTCAACATGTCACTGCTCCAATTCTAGCGAAGCCTGTGCTATACCTGGCCGCCGTCAGGTAAATGCGGTTGCCTACAAGAGGGCTGCAGTTCATATCAGAATCAGCAGGCGTTAAAAACCTAGCTTAAGAATCTCTAAGATGAGTCTCATTAGAAAACTGAGGTGCAGGAACTTACACACACAGAAAACATTTCAATGAATTTGTGACCTCGAAGGTGGTAACGTCTTTTCAGAGATTCCGTACATGAAGAACCCAGGAAAAACAAAGATCATTTGAAGAGTTAACAATAAAAAAGGTTGTTTCATTAAAGTGAGGAAGACAGTATAAAATATTTACAAAAGGAACGACATTCAGAATAAAGAAATATTTACAGATGTTAGAAAATCATTAATTTTTAGCCATAATGAGCCCTCTTCGAGCTCCCAAAATCTTGGCTTTCTTCTCCTTCCGTTCTTGCTCGTGTTTCTTCCGTTGCTCTTCCCTGAGGGGGACAGGTACACATTAGGCTCCAGTGAAGCTCCACGACGGACACTTTTTAGCACCTCTCCTTGGGGCCAATACCCACGCTTACAGTGCCATCTAGTACCCTGGGTGTGAAGCAGCTCTGCCTAGTGCTTCTAACACCTTCCAGTCATTGCTGCATAAAGGCTAGAAATTAGTATTTTCCTTCTGAAATCATGCACGAGGGAATGGGGCAAGCAGGTGGTATAGGGGTTCTGCACTGGACTCACATGGCTGATCGTGGTTCGAGTCCCCAACTTGGGGGCTTGAAAATCACACCAGATGTATATGTGTGCACACCCAAAATCCCGGGAGGAGAATGGCGAAGAAGGGACTGCAGCATGGTCATCCCCCTGGGAGTAATTTCTCACTTTTCCTCTCAACTCGAATTCCAGTCCCCCACGTGCGAGTCCAGGGCTCTAACCACATCACCTGCTGGCCCCCAACTCCTGTACTTTTAAAATGTGTTTCAAATGTAAAATCTCTACTCCCAGAAGTCAAAGGTCAAACACAAAATTATATAGTCTAATGAAAGTGCTCGAATTTGAACCAGAGTATCCTGGTTTAAGCCATTAGGTATGGTCTTTTCTAGAGGGAGCCGGCAAAAGAAAGAAAACTCCGGGGTCGTGATAACTGTCTTAGTAACACAGACAGTTGGAAGAGGCTTTGGTGGCAGCTGGATATAGCCAAGAGTCAAATGCCAGGTAACCCTTAACAAGGAGGGTTCCAGGCAAGGAATCTAGACTCAGCCGCGACCAGCCACAGCCCAGGAGGAGCTCTGGCTTTAACTTGCTTTTCATGCCGAGGAAAGCCTCAAAGTACCATCCTGGCTTTACTCCCGCCGAGAGCCTTGATGTCTCATAAGCCTGGTTTCCTTGGGAAGGAGGAATGTACCCTCCCTGCGTCTATAGGTTCTCTGGGCCCTGGAGCTCTGGGGCGGGAGGGATATTTGGCCGCACTAGCTGGGCAGACAGATTATCCAAGAGCTGTGCTCTGAATCGGGGTCTTATTTCCTGTCAGCCACAGAGACTTGGGGACTGCAGGTGCTGGAGTCTCACTCCAACCCCACTCAGCACTGTGCTGGAGCCCAGGTGCATGTACTTGCAGAGGTTCTAGAGGTGAATTCCACTTCTCGTTTCTTTTTCTGTTTAATGACAGAGTCTTGCTGTCTTGCTCAGGCCAGCCTCGGTCCTGCCTCAGACTCCCGAGTTACTGGGACTATCGGCACACACCACACCAGCTTTCATGTTGGACAAGTGATCAAACCTGGGCCTCCTATGTGGTGCCCACAGCATCTTATTCATTCACTCATCTTAATTTGACCAGAGAGAGATAGAGAGAGAGAGGGAAAGTGAGAAAGCAAACCACCAGGTCCAGAACTCGAACTGTGGTCGGCCATGTGGGAGCGTCCAGTACCTTAACCACCACACCACCTGCTGGCCCGACAACCTCTTCTTTTTTTTTTTTTTCCCTGGAGAGGTTTTTGCTATAGGGCGCGTGCGCTCGCCAGACAGACAGAGAGAGAGACAGAGACAGACAGAAAGCGAGAAATCACCCCCTGGGGGGATGGCCACGCTGCAATCCCTTCTCCTCTGTTCTCCTCTTAACCACCACACCACCTGCCAGCACCCCAAATTCTTTTTTTGCCTTTTTAAAGAGAGTTTTTTTTTTTTTTTTGCTGTACGTTGCCTGCATTCACTGGAGAGACAGAGACACACAGAAAGAGAGAAATGACCCCTCAAGGAGGATGGCCATGCCGCAGTCTCTTCTCCTCCATTCTCCTCAGGAGTTTGGAAACACACCCACACGCGCTGGCATGAGTTTCAAGCCTCTGGGGCTGGGACTCAAACTGCGGTCGGCTGTGTGGGAGGCCAGCCATGTAACCACAATGCCATCTGCTGGTCCCAACTTCTTATTCATCTTAGCTGCTCAGCTAAATCTTGGTAGGCTGTCATGTTTACAAAGAATGAATTTACTACAGTAAGACAAAATTTTATTTATGAAACTCTTTAACAGTACATAGCTCAGAAGTTCTACTTAGGTACAACAGACTTACATACGATGCTAAGCAACTCCAGTTTTTAAAATAAATGAGTAAGATCTAAGTTTGACAGAACTTAGTAACCTTAAATCGGTAATCTTCAAATTTCAATAGGGCCTGTCGCTTTTAAATAAACAAGATTAGAATGAGCTATAGTTTTATTCCTAAGTATATGATGGCGATTATAGGAAGTGATCTGAACAAAGGTGCATCTACACTTTCAACAAAACAAAGCTTCTTCACAGCGGTAAAATACTGATGCCATAACCAAACCGTATGACCCAGCTGCATAAAGGTGACTAGGTTCTCTACAGAAGAGGGTGCAGGGGCCTTTCTATCCTGGCTCTCCCTATTCTCAACATGTCACTGCTCCAATTCTAGCGAAGCCTGTGCTATACCTGGCCGCCGTCAGGTAAATGCGGTTGCCTACAAGAGGGCTGCAGTTCATATCAGAATCAGCAGGCGTTAAAAACCTAGCTTAAGAATCTCTAAGATGAGTCTCATTAGAAAACTGAGGTGCAGGAACTTACACACACAGAAAACATTTCAATGAATTTGTGACCTCGAAGGTGGTAACGTCTTTTCAGAGATTCCGTACATGAAGAACCCAGGAAAAACAAAGATCATTTGAAGAGTTAACAATAAAAAAGGTTGTTTCATTAAAGTGAGGAAGACAGTATAAAATATTTACAAAAGGAAAGACATTCAGAATAAAGAAATATTTACAGATGTTAGAAAATCATTAATTTTTAGCCATAATGAGCCCTCTTCGAGCTCCCAAAATCTTGGCTTTCTTCTCCTTCCGTTCTTGCTCGTGTTTCTTCCGTTGCTCTTCCCTGAGGGGGACAGGTACACATTAGGCTCCAGTGAAGCTCCACGACGGACACTTTTTAGCACCTCTCCTTGGGGCCAATACCCACGCTTACAGTGCCATCTAGTACCCTGGGTGTGAAGCAGCTCTGCCTAGTGCTTCTAACACCTTCCAGTCATTGCTGCATAAAGGCTAGAAATTAGTATTTTCCTTCTGAAATCATGCACGAGGGAATGGGGCAAGCAGGTGGTATAGGGGTTCTGCACTGGACTCACATGGCTGATCGTGGTTCGAGTCCCCAACTTGGGGGCCTCGAAATACTCCCAGATGTATCTGTGTGGCA